CCCTGGCCGGACTCGCTCCTACCACAACTCTGTCAGGTGGGAAAGACCTTATGGAAAACGGGACAGACCCAAGCCACTGAGCTTGCATGTGGCAGAGCTGAAAGTGCACCTAGGACTGGTTGACCAAAGTCCACCCCAGTGGTCCCCACACTGCTTTTCTTGTAAAATATTCTAGAGTGAGCAGGGTGGTCACAGTAGGCAACCTTCATCCCATTTTCTAGGGGGAAACAGAGGCTCAGAGAGGTTAACTGCTCAAGACCCCACAGCTGATCATGGAGGCACAGCTAGGCCCCCATCCACCCTCCAGGGGCTGCTCCTGCAGACACATCTGACTGAGTTCACCACAAGCAGACATGTGTCGTGGACGTGACAGGAGGGGACAGTCTCATATCGCAGTGGCAGTGTTCAGACTTGTCTGAGGTGCTTTCTAGGGCTTTTCTCCAAGAAGGCCACCAAATGAGAGACTTGCTGGCAAACCAGCTGCCTTACTCAAGTGATTATCTTTCTAAGAAAGATCTAAATACGCATATTGTGAAGAAGCAATAAAAACTATAGTAGGGCAAGCAAGTACCAAATTTTACTTCTTTGTTAGGAGAGCTGGTGTCTTTGATGGCCAGTGTGGCTGCAACACAAGCAAATATATCATTTTTGTGAAGCGTTTTGACCACTAGAGTGTGGGCATCGTTACCAGTGGGTAATTTCCTCTGGTTCTCCAAGGTATTGGACACACATAACTTTTTATTTTTATAGCGTTCACGTTTTTTGGTATTTATTTATTTGTGAGGAAGATTGTCGCTGAACCACCATCTGCGCCCATCTTCCCTTATTTTACGTGGGACACTGCCACAGCATGTCTTGAGAGCAGTGCTAGGTCTGTGTCAGGATCCGAACCTGCGAACCCCAGGCCACCGACATGGACTGTGCCAACTTAACCACCACGCCACCAGCCTGGCCTCACATTTATTGTATTTTAAACATTATAACATGAGTGAGTATTTGTTATAGAACATTTAGAAAATATAGACAAAGAAAAGGAAAAAAATCTCACTTAACCTTAGTGCTCAGATAAATGTTAACATTTTGGTCTATTTCTGAATATGTATTTAGATTTATTCTGTGGGCAGTTTATATTTTAACAGCTGATCAATACTCCATCCCATGGGATACTGTAGACATCTGAGCTGTCTCCCATGCTTCTATCCTTGGACATGTTTACCCCAATTTTTCGTTATAATAAATATTGATGTAATGAACATTCTTGTATAAAAATTTTAAAATCTGCATCAGATTATTTTCAGATAAGTTACTAGAAATGAGATCACTAAAATGGTTTGACTCTGCCTATGGTCCCTGATGCATATTTTCAAATTAGCCTTTAGAAATAAGATACCAAGTTTATGTCCATGGGCATCCTATGAGAACGCCCTAGCCAACACCAGCTGTTATTATCACCTAACGTCACGGAGGGGGTACAATTTGATAGGTAACAATAAGTAGTATCATCCTTTGTTTTGAAATTCTTTGCTTAGCAGTGAAGTTTGCTTTTTTCTTCTCACAGGCTTATTGACATTTGAAGAGCTGTGTTTTTCTCTTAGCTCAGCTTCCTGGTGGAGCATCCTTGACCCAGGAGGTTGATTCTAGGAAGGACAGCCTCACCTGCTCTGCCACACCCTTCAGGAGGCCTTTGCCACCAGAATCCTTGGCCAGGAGGGGTCTAAAGCTCTTCAACCAGGGCACTGTTTCCTTGTCCCTCCCAGGAATGAGTGAAAGCCTCGGGCATGGAGGGGGCTGCCTTCCAGGAGGATGTGGGTGCAGCAGTACCTTTAGCTCGGCCTTCCCCTCAGTGAGCAGGGAAGAAGAGCAGGAGGGAGGAGAAGGCTAATTAGGAGGCAGTGGTGTCTTGAGGCCGGAAGGATGAGAGAGATCCCAGAAGGAAGAAGGGCGGCCTGGTGGCATAGACAAGGATTCGGGCGCTCTGAGCTCGTTTGTATGCCCTGAGAGGCAACGGGACTACAGATGTGGATGTTTAAGGATAAATAGGGTAAATGGTATGAATTCAGGAATAAAGACAAAAGAGAGCAGGATGTCTACAGTCCGTTCCAACGAGTGTCCCAGCCTTCGTTGGGGCCCCTAGTGGCCCACCATATCTCTGCTGTGGCCTCATCAATCTCCCTGGATCTGCCCCCGCTGCCCCTTCACTCCAGGGCTCTGCTTCTAAGGCACAGTTGGGACCTTGGCCTTTTGCTGGACACTCTTCACTTCTGCTCAGTCAAGTCCAGAGCTGGCTTCACACCCACATTGCCAGCCTTCTCTCTGCCCAAAGTCATCTCTCACTGTCCAGCTCCACCCCAAACACACACTCCTGGCCTTCTACACATGCTGTTCCCTCGGCTTGAAAACTTCTCCTTCCTCTTTACTCTCCAAACCCTTCCCTTGTGCTAAAAGTAAAAGCCACTCGCAGGCTGTGCTTGAGTTCTATCTTACCAGCTGGGTGAACTGGGAAGGCACTTAACCTGCAGGACCTCAGTTCGTGTGTAAAACAGAAATACTAACGGCTATCTCGCAGGGTTACCTTAAATAGCTAAGAAAACGTGTCTGGTAGACTTTCCAGTATTCGCTCACTCATTTCCTTCAGAAGTGCTCATTGAGCACCTGCTCCAGGTCAGGCTGAACGGGGAAGAAATGTTCTCTATGCCAATGGAGACTCAGAGAGGAGCAGACAGTCCACAGGTGATTACTTACAGCATCATTGAGTTACAACTGTCATAGGGCGAGGGCAGGAATCTGAGAGACAGTCAGTAAATGCCACCTCTCCCCGCCCCATTCATTCCTGTGATTCAGTCAGGGACATGGTCATAAACTGCTTTTATATGCTTTTCAATGATGGAACAAACACAGTCTTTTTCTGCAACTTAAAAAAGTCCTGGGGCTGGCCCCGTGGCCGAGTGGTCAAGTTTGCACGCTCCGCTTCAGCAGCCCAGGGTTTCACTGGTTTGGATCCTGGGCGCAGACATGGCACCGCTCATCAGGCCTTGCTGAGCCAGCGTCCCACATAGCACAACCAGAAGCACTCACAACTAGAATATACAGCTACGTACTGGGGAGCTTTGGGGAGAAGAAGAAGAAATAAAAAAATGAAGAAGATTGGCGACAGATGTTAGCTCAGGTGCAAATCTTTTTTTAAAAGAAAAAAGTCTAGTAGAATTTATAATGCCCAAATCCATAAAACTCCTTTTTAAAGAAGAAGAGAAGAAAGAGTTCAGACGTTACTTTTTTTTCTTTCTTTCTTTCTTTCTTTTTTTTTTTTTTTGCTGAGGAAGATTTGCCCTGAGCTAACATCCACACCCAATTTTCCTCTTTTTGTATGTGGGCCGCCACCACAGCATGGCCACTGACAGACGAGCAGTATATGTCTGCGTCCTGGAGTGGGACCCAAGGCACCGAAGCAGAGTATGCCAAACTTAACCACCAGGCCACTGGGGCTGGCCCTAGACCTTGCTTTTTTTTTGAAGCCTTCCAAGAAAGGCAGAGAAGCAGTTCCCTCCCTCCCCATGCTGTGTTGATTCCCACTCTCCCTTCAAATGGACCTCAACTACCCTTGCATTGCACTGGGGGCCCAGGAGCACTAGTGAGGGGTGGGGGCTCATTTGTCTTCAAACTCAGGGCCTCTGGTCCCAGAGATCACAAGCAAGTTATTGTTGAATGAAAGCTGGGATAAGTGGGCTGCAGAACTGAGAAGTGGTTTTCTGGTGGGCACACGAAGGCAGGGAGCCTGAGGAATGTGGTGATCTCCAGGTGAGATATATTTCTAAACATCATATAGGTTTGTCAAAATCCACCAGCACACAAATAACAATACAAGAAGGTGATCACAAACAAGTCCCAGACCGTTAATTAGTAACACCTTGCTCTCTAGAAAAACTACGCTACTCCACAGAAGACACAAAGGTCTAGATTACCATTGGTAAAAGGTCCAAATCTAGAGGTGTCCATGGCACTTCCCATACTCCTGAAAGGAAAGCAGAGCCTAAGCACCGGGCATTGACCAGTACCACCAGCCAAGCTGCTGGCGTGGATTGCCACTAAGTTCGATGAAAAATTAACAGGCTGTAGCATCATCTCTGACTCTTCTAACCAACAGAATCACCGACAAAGAATGAGTCCACATCAACTTCCACAGAATCCTTTTCAACTTTGGCGACATCCACACCTGTGCAATCTTTTGTCTCCACAACACCCACGGTAGTTTTCAGTTCAACCGTTTCCTCTGCCACCGTCTATACAACTGAGAATACAAGTCCTTCATCGCCTTCTGGTCCTGAGACATCAACGACCAATCAGGAAACTAGACAGACACACACATTCTCCACAGAAGAGACGACTGTCTACACAGACATTTCTGGTTTGTCCACACCGACTGTTTCCCCTGCATCATCTCCTTCCGGGAATGGTGGAAATAGCCCGTCCTCTTCAAGTCCTGGCCAGCTGTCTACCACTCCCCATGTCTCACCACAGACGACCACGTACCCCCTGGAGGGATCCACTGGGTCTGCAGACACTCCTGCTTCTGGGAATCTCACAGGGGAGTCAACCATCTACTCCACCACTTCAGCTCCAAGTGAATCAACAGTTTCTACCTCCCCTGGCTCGCAGACCCCAGAAACTGGTACTTCTCCAGCCATGACAAGCCCCAGTGCCGTGTCTTCGCCTCCTGTGCTGTCCGAGCAAAGCACCTCACCTCTCTCAGAGGAGTCAACCAGCTACTCTACTGTTTCTGCTCCATCTGAACCAACAGTTTCTACATTCCCCAGCTCACAGACACCCGGAACTGGTACCTCTGCAGCCCGATCAACCGCCAGTGTGCTGTCCACGCCCACTGTGCTCTCTGAGCAAAGCACCCCAACTCTCGCTAATGAGACAACCAGCTACTCTACTGTTTCTGCTCCATCTGAATCAACACTTTCTACATTCCCCAGCTCGCTGACCCCAGAAACTGGTACCTCTGCAGCCCGATCAACCGCCACTGCGCTGTCCACGCCCACCATGCTCTCTGAGCAAAGCACCCCAACTCTTGCAGGGGGGTCAACCATCTATTCCACCGTTTCGGCTCCATCTGAATCAACAGTTACTACCTCCCCCAGCTTGCAGACCACAAAATCCAGTACTTCTGCAGCCCCGTCAAGCCCCAGTATACTGTCCACCACCACCGTGCTCTTTGAGCAAAGCACCCCAACTCTCACAGGGGAGTCAACCCGCTACTCCACCACTTCGGCTCCATCCGAATCAACAGTTTCTACCTCTCCCAGCTCGCAGACCCCAGAAACTGGCACTTCTGCAGCCCTGTCTAGCCCCACTGCGCTGTCCACACCCACCGTGCTCTCTGAGCAAAGCACCCCAACTCTCGCAGGGGAGTCAACCATCTACTCCACCATTTCAACTCCATCTGAATCAACAGTTTCCTAACTCCCCCAGCTCGCAGACCCTAGAAACTGGTACTTCAACAGCCCCATCAAGCCCCCGTGTGGTGTCTATCCCCACTGTGATCTCTGACGTGACCGATGGAAGTCTCACCATTTCTACTTCCATCCCTTCTACCACCAAAAGACCTAGTCCTGCCACCTCTTCTGGTGTCACTCCATCTTCTACAACTAGAGCCATCTTTGGACCAGCATCCACCACCCTCAATGGAGGATCTACAGTCTCCAAAAGCAGCCCAGATTCACGAAACACAACAGTTTCATCTGACAGCTCCCCAACTGAATACCCTCGTGCTTCTTCTTCCGCCTCACCTATCCCTGTTTTCTCCTCCACACCAGTCTCTGACTTTCCTTCAGCCATTGCACCTTCTTCTGGTGTTTCCCTTCCTCTCTCCTCCACTGCACCTGGGTCTACTCATTCTCCAGTCCCTGAGTTCAATACCATTTCAACCCTCTATCCCTCATTCACTAGCACCCACACAACTGTTATGACAAGTCACTCTCCAGCTACAAAACCAAGTAAGTCCCATTCTATGTCTCTCTGTGGTCCTCTCCTGTCCACCTTCCCTCACCAGCTAATCAGCTTTTACATCTTGTGGTTTTGTTCCAGCCTTCCAGTACTTTCTTGTTGCTATGTACATCATCCATGCAGATGGATGCTGTTCTCTTTTTATTTGTAGGACTCTTGTTATGTTTGCTCATCCTCTTTTATCTCTTGCTTCCTTCCTCCCCATTGTCTTTCTTCCTTTCCCCACTGTCTCCTGGGGATTAAGGTGGTGGCAAAGGTGTCTCAGTTGCTGCATGATCATCTGTTCCCATCCCCCTCTTTCAGTGCAATGCCTGAATGATGGGACCCAGAATGGGAGCCAGGGTTTTTGTCTCTTGGGCTTCCATGGTGACTGCTGTCAATTCTCCCCCTCCACAGAGCAGTGTCAGAATGGGACCATCTGGAACGGAGAAGAGTGTTTTTGTGCCCCAGGCTTCGTTTGTTATCTGTATCAGTCTCCTGTGGACTCCTTCAGTCTAGGTAATGACTTTTCTAAGACCTGTCCATCATCCCCACGTGCCTGAACCACTTAAAATAGGAGCACAGCACTGGAAGGGTCATCGCTACCACTGCCTCCTTGTGCAGGTGGAGGAGACAATGTGACTTTCACCCAGGCCAAAACACAGGTAGAACGTGGATCTTCTGCCTCCCCCTTCAGGGCCCTTTTTACTAGCTCACCTGCCCCTCTCCTCAGGTAGTTTCTCTCCCAACCCTTTCTGGAGACCTCCTCTTAGCTCTCTCTGGGTGGTGATCCTACCCGCCAGCTCCTCATGATGTTCAGAAACAAGGGGCAGAGGTTTCAGCAACTCTTACCTGCCTCTTGAATTTTCATCCTTCCTCCTACCTGCTTTCTCTGCCTCCCTGAGACCAATAGGGGAGAATTAACCAATCCCGGAAGACATCACTGAGAGGTTGCTGTCTTACGTGTAATGTGGCCTGTTCCCACAGAAATCCCGGAAAAAATCAATGCCACTGTAGGTGTGAAAGTGAAAGTGACAAACTGTAATTTCACAACAGACCTGAACAACGTATCCTCACAGGCTTACTTGAATTTCTCTGAACAATTCAAGAAACAGGTAAGAACAGGGGAAGCTAAGATTCTCTACTGTGGATGTTTGATGTGAGAAGTGGGCAGAGGCTCAGTCTGACTTCCTGTTTAGGGTTTCTCAGCTCATGGGTCTCTTCAGTCTTCCCAAGTCCCAAGAGAGGGTCTTCTGAGAGCCTCCTTTCTTGATCCCTACCCCATCCACATCCTGGTGGAAGGAGTGTCCCTACGCCTTCCCTTCCTTCTTTCCTATGGGCTAATACATGGGATCCCTCTGGAAGGGGGCCTTGGGGCTGCCCTCTGAGACAGGAAATTGGGGCTGCTGCACCCTCTAGGCCTATATGAGTCAGCTGCCACATTTCTTTCAGATGGATGAAGCTTACAAAGGCAAGGACTTTCCCCACTATGGAGGCTTGATCATTAGGAGACTGCTGTGAGTATGTTGCGGGGGTGGGCAGATTGAGGGGCTGTGGGAAGCCCTCTCTCTTTTCCCTTCTCTCCTGCCACTTCCTGTCACGAATGGTTAGAGTACTCTAGAGATAGGCAGGAAAAGCACAGCCCCCAAAGGGGAGTGGAAAGAAGCAGACAGGGGTGGGAAGGGAGCCTAGAGGGCATCATGTCCCAGCAGCTTGGGGAAGAAAGGGTCTCAGGAAGGATGGAAATCCACACTGTCAAGGGCCCACAGGGTTACATAGCTCAGCATCCTCCACCCCGACCCTCACCCTTCACCCAACATCAGCACCATCATCTCCGTCTCCATTTTGGCTCAGGATTTTGTTGGTTCAAGTGCTCCTGGGTCCTGCTCCCTGACTTCTCTGTCACAATGGCTGTGAGCAGTGACTGGCCTTGTCCCAAGATCTCCCCACTCAGCAGCGTTGCTTGCCATCTAACAAGGAGCTTCTGGGTTGGAATTCTATGTTTCTAAAGTGAGCTCATGTTTCTTCATTTCTGTAAGCTTGCTTATTTGGTTTTCAGAATATAATCCAAGAGCTTCTATTTTTAATTTCCTTATTTAAATTTTTTTTATTATGGTAAAATATCCCTAACATAAAATTTTTCATTAACAATTTTAATTGTGAGGTTCAGTGGCATTCACATTGTTGTGCAACCACCACCACCGTCCACCTCCAGAATTTTTCATCTTCCCAAACTGAAACTCTATACCCATTAAACAATAACTCCCAATTCCCCCTCATCCCACCTCTGGCACCCACCATTCTACTTCTGTCTCTATGAATTTGCCTACTCCAGGTACCTCACATAAGTGAAATCATGCAGTATTTGTCCTTTTGTGACTGGCTTATTTCACTTATTATTGTTTCATAATGTCCTGGAGATTCATCCATGTTGTGGCAGGTGTCAGAATTTTCTTCCTTTTTAAGGCTGAATAATATCCCATTGTGCATGTATACCAAATTTTGATTGTCCATTCATCCATCGATGGACACTTGGGCAGCTTCCATGTTTGAGCTATCGCAAATAATGCTGTTGTGAACGTGAGTGTAAAAATATGTCTTTGAATCCCTGCTTTCAATTCTTTTGGGTATATACCCAGGAGTGGAACTGCTGGGTCTTATGGTAATTCTATTTTTAAATTTTGAGAAGCTGCCCTACTGTTTTCCACAGCGCTGCCCCATTTTACATTCCCATCAACAGTGCTCAAGTGTTCAATTTCTCACATCTTTGCCCAAGAGCCTCCAATTTGGGGAATGAATTTTGCCCATTGGTGTTTATTGTGATCACTGATATTCAGGGATCTTAGGTCGTTTCAGTCTGTGGCTTCCCTCTTGGTTGTTAACTGCTAGGGATGATCTCTAGTTCCATCCTGCCTCTGGGTTTTATGGCTAATTGTCTCTCATCACCCCCTTGCTTCTTGGTTCCACTTGCTGGGAGGGTGGGTGACTCAGGTGACCGATTAACCACTGACTTCTGGTTCCAGCAATGGCAGCGTTGTGGTGGAATTTGACGTCATCCTGGAGGCAAACTACACTTCAGCATTTGAGGGACTGTTTGCAAACCTCATTGAGATCGTAAAGACCAAGACTATGAATGAGACCAAAAGGCTACACCCAGAATCTAAGGAATGCAAAGGTAGGTCTACCTAAAACCCTTTGATGTTGGTGAGGAAAGGATGAGAGGCGTCCCTTCAGGAGGACTCAGCCTCCCCACCCCGCCATTCATCTCTCCTCTCTTCTGGAACTCCAGAGACCTCGCTATAGGAACCCAAAAGCCAGGCTTGGGGGCCTTCCTCAGACTCTGCAGTACTCCCAGCAGCCCCGCCCAGTCCAGCACTGAGGTTGTCACCAGCCCTGATGTCCCCATCTGAGCCTGCTCACAGGCCCAGATGCAGCTAGGGATGGGCCAAGACCCTAGTCATGTAGGCCCAGCATAGAGGATGTGGTATAGAAGAAAGGGAGGCTGGCTACCCCCAGCAATTCTGTTCTGTTCTTTTCCACCACCTTTATCAGGCTTCTCAACTCTGTGTTTCAACGAGGAGGCCACCACTGTGAGCAAGACCGTGAAGCTGGGTTTTGACTTGAAGGGTAAGCAGGGGCAGGGGACAGCGTGTGGGCAGTAAACATGGGGGCTAGGAGGCACTTCACCCAGGCTGATGCTTACTGCCCACTCCTCACCAGAGCAATGCAGCCAGAAGGCTGCGAAGGACTTAGCCGCATTCTACTATGTGGAGGAGCTAAACGGGAAGCCAACCTGTGTGACCAAGTGCACCTCGGGGACAAAGTCACAACTGAATTGTCACCAGGGCAAGTGCCAGCTGGAGCAAAGTGGTCCCCGCTGCCTGTAAGTGCCCAGCCCCTCTAAGCCCAGGGCCCACCTCCTCTGGTGGTAGGGCCGCGCCCTCCCTCACAGTCACCGAGGGGGCAGGGTTGGGGTGAGCAGAGCTCGAATGGTGCCTTCTCGCCCCTCCTCTATGTCCCTCTTTCCTCTACGTGGGTCCCTCAGAGTGAGGAGGATGTATAGATTGCAGACATGCACATCCTGGGACTGAGCAAGCCCCTTCCTGAGTAATTTCCAGTTAATCTTTATCTACACATCTCTCTCATCCATCATCCCAGCCATGGTGCCACTATCACCTCTAGCTACGGCTTAGAGATTAGATGGGGCAACGTCGTGTGTGTGGGATGAGGCACCCGACACTCTCAGATTCTGAATTCCTGCTCTGCAGTCCCAGGGTCCCCTCACCCCCCACTATCCCTTAGTCTTGGGGAGTCAGGGAGGGTGCCCAGCCCCTGTCCTCGGAGGGAGAGCCTGTTTCCTGAGCTGTGACCCTGACTTTTTCTTTTGGGAGACTGAGTGTGAGAGATGCTACCTGAGCATCCCTGAGCTCAGGCTGCCCTGAGCTTGCATATGTCCCTAGATGCCCAACCTCGGACACGCACTGGCACCTGGGAGAGACCTGTGGGGTCATCATCAGCAAGAGCATGGTGTACTGGATTGTGGGGGCTGTGGTGGTGCTGCTGCTGATCCTGGTGGTTGCCCTGTCCATCTTCCTCAGCCGATCCCAGAGAAAACTGCACCAGTAAGCTGGGGCCAGACCCAGAGAGAGGGGACCACCATTGGAATATCCCAAGGCTCTGCTCCTTCTGGCTCAGCAGCTGGAGGTCAGCCAAGGCCTGAGGGGAACCTTGACCGGCCCCTCCCAGCTCTGGGTGCAGCAAAGGGCAGCCTGCTGATGGGAAAGGATATATCCGTTTGGCAGAGAAATGGAAACAAAAACTTGTGTACCGAAATTACCTGGTGTTTATTTTCACCTTGGCTGCCACGGAGCAACTGTCACAATGGGACGCCAGGGCACATCTAGTGTCGCTTTCTCCAGCTGTAAAACAGATAAGATCCACCTGAGAAGGTTGCCATGAAATGCCCGGTACAGCACCTGGCTGGCAGGTGGCAGTTCAAGGGAGCTGCCCTGACTCTAGTCCGACGCCCCCACCTCACAGATAGGAAAACTGAGGCTTGCTGAGGGATGAAGGGGGGCAGGCGATGGTGATGTTCCCAGGCACACTCCTTGTTTTCTGTGTCTGCCACTGGGGGCAGGCCCCTCCATGACTCAGGGCTTGGCCATGAAAGCTCCTTCCAGAAGTTGAGGGTCGGGGCCTCTGAGCCCCCTCGTCCGCCCCCTGCCACCAGCTGCTCATGGCATTTCTCTTGGCAGGCAAGAACACAATCTGTTTCGAGAGTGGCAAAAAGAAGGCATCCTCGGCAGTTTCCAGAATGCACACGTCTGGGAAGGTACCTCTCATCAAGGGCAGGAGTCGGGCCAGAGCTGAGGGTGGAGCAAGGCTGAGAAGGCACTGCGGTTGGACTCATTGTGGCTGTGGGTGACTCACACTTCCTGTCAGCCCACCCACATCTGCCGCCGCAGCCAGGCTGGGCCAGCTCCTCTGCAGCCTCCTGACCCAGAGCTCCCATGGGCCACCCCCCGCTGCCCCTGCAGTCTTTCCTTGGCTCCTCCAGTCTGTGTGTGGCCCACCAATGCCCACTGTTTTCCCTCCTCCATGCCTTTGCATGGACCGCGCCACTGTCTGGAAGGTTCCCCTCATCCGAGTCTCAGCACACCCCACTCCCACTCTATTTCCAAGATCAGGTTCAAATGTTGCTCCTCCATGTGTGTTCAGCCTCCTCTGGCTCCCAGAGCCCCTGATGGCACCGCACCCAGCTGCCATGGAAAACCGTCACGTCCGCTCTGCTCTCTCACTACATGAACCCTTGGCCCTGAGCATCTCTGTCCACCTCTATCCTTGCCCCTGAGCAAATCCTGCCTTCCCAGTTCTTCCTCACAAACACCATGGAGGGGCTACAGGGATGACTGAAAGGATCCTGCCTCTGGAGGGCATCAGATGCACACACAGTTTATGGGATGATAGATAGGGCCGTGCCCAGGGCTCCACAGGGCACAGAGGGACGCCTGACCCAGCCCGGAGTGGGGCGGGCTCAGAGAAGGCTGCAGAGGTGACGGCGCCTGATTCACACATTGTGGGTAAGGGTCAGCGCTCAGAACCGGTGAGTAAGCCGCATGCATCCTGCTTCCAGGAACATAGAGCCCAGCGAGGAGCCAGGAGGGGGAAAGGGCAGTTGAGCAGAGGGCATTGCTTTGGAAAGGGCGTGGGGTGGGAACAAGTGTGGGCCGTGGGGGAACCCAAGGCAGGCCAGCAGGATGTGAGGTTGGCAGAGCCAGGTCATGGAGGGCTTTGTGGGCCATGATTGGGGGACCCACTGGAGGGGCTTTAAGGGAAGGCGGCCGACATGCATTGTGAGTAGCTCATTCATGTGGATTTGAGGGGGATGGCACTAAAGTAGGGAGACCAGGGAGGTGTTCCACAGTCTAACGGATGGGGTTCGCTGAGGCTGAGTGGGGGCAGTGGGGATGGGAGGAGTGGACGGATGGAGCAGTTTAGATGTCAGTGAGCCGGGTAGGACTTTTTGCTTGCAGGCTTGGTGGAGAGGGTCACTGCCTGGGCCGGGGCGCAGAGGGGAGAGGCAGCAGGTGGGGCATGCTGCGTTGGGGGCTGGTGGGGTGCAGAGGGGGTGGCACCACAGGCTCTGGCCTGTCTGAAGCCTGAGGAGTGGCCTGCAGACAGTGCTGGGCGTCCTCAGCTCAGTTCGGCCCACCATGGGGAGAAGGCAGGTGAGGAGGGTGGAAGGCAGGGCCCCGGGGAGGACCTGGAAGCAGGCAGAGAAGGAATGGTCTGGGAGGTGCCAGGAGACCAAAGGACAGAGTGAGCTGCAGGACCGGGGAAGTGGGGGCTGAGCATACACCAACTCGCCAACTCGAACACAAAGGAGAAGATTCCAGACACAGCTGTTTGCAGCCTGCTGTGGTTACCGTTGCTAAGACTGAGTGTCCGTGGCAACCCCAAGCCAAACCTTCCTCCTGCTCCACCCTGTCATCCCTGTGCCTGCCCATGGCCCATGCTCACCACGGCCATGACTTTTGACTCCAAGGCTCGTCAGAGGGCTGCTGCTCTGGTTCCCACCTGTGCCTGCGTCACACCGGGCCAGCTCCCCAGACACGCTCCAGAGTCATCAAGACCCACCTTGGAGATAAGCTGCCATGGTGGAAGGATGGGCGGGCAGTGGGAAGATAGTTTAGGGCAGATATGGGACTGACTCTTCAAACCTGCTCCTTTCACTGGAAAAAATCCCCGCTCCGTATCTCTCCAGGCTCCCCCAGGCTCGCTCTCACCCAGTTCCTCTCCCCACAGATCAGAATCTGAGGGACAGATTCGGCCTTGCAAACGCCTACAACCACTTCCGGCCCTCTCTGGGGAACATTGACTCCAACACAGAGGTGACTCAGGGGCCCACCCCCAGCCAGGAGCTGCTCCCTTCCTGTCACCCCTGCCCCCTACCACTCTGGGGCTGCCTGGGGAGAGTGGGGCACACTCGGCCCAGATGCAGGTCACTCCCTGTGGACATGGCCATCGCACAGCCTCCCTTGGCCTCACCTCCTCTCTCTCACCCCCAGTTCCACATTGAGAGGCCCCAGGCGGTGACACCTGCTCCTTGACCAGGACAGATGCTTCCACTCATCCCCCAGTTCCGGACGACAAGACTTTAGTGGAGAGCCCACTGCAGGCCCAGTGTGGGTCAAGAGGAAACATGTGAGGGCCTGAGGCATGTCCTGCTCAGAGCTGGCGGGCTTGGCTCCGTCCCCTGCTGCGAGCCACTCTTGCCCCCAACCCAGGAGGCCCAAGGCTGCCCAGACACCTTGCATCCTTGTTTGCTCCACAGTGACTCCCCTCTCTGGAATTTTCCTACCAATAAAAGAGCAAATTTCAAAGTGCAGAGTGTGGTGTGTGTGGTTCTCTTCCTTCCCCTGCAGGGCCTGGCTGGGGCCTGGGTCTCCAGGAAGGTCCTTCGCCGGAGAGCGTTCCTCTCAGGCCTGAGTGCTGAATCTGGACCCGGGGATGCTCTCGGGCACCTTCCTGTGCCCACACATGGAGTACCAGCCCCTCACCGGCTCCGGGCCAGGGCAGGGCCAGGCCGCCTCTGCCTGAGGTCTCTGTGATGGATGAGCCTAGGGTCAGGTCCTGGGGAGGGGAGTGGACCCAGGGTGTCAGGGGTGGGGGCAAAGGAGTGAGCACTAAGCTCTGCTGACCTTGCTGGGGACCGAGGTCACTCCAGATGGCCACAGGGACCCACGCTCACCTGAGAACCTGCAGACCCAAGTACAGTCAGCCATCAGGGGCTGGGCACTGGCCCAGGTGCAGCCATGACCTGCACCCCATGTCTTGGTGAGGTACCCATAGGGGCAGTAAAGGGGGCTTGAGAAGAGGGGACGGGGGTCTCCTTGCAGGGGAATGGAGTCAGATACCAGGCATCCTTCTCCTATCGGGCCCAGGCCCAGTCCTTCCCTGCCACCTCCTACCCACTCCAGGGGTCTTCTCGGTTCTCCCAGCACTTCAGGTTCCTGCACCTGCCCCTTCATTGGGACAACAAGTCTGATGGCCTGCGTGCTTTGTGCCTGGCCAGGCAGGGCTCCCCCTCCCTCTGCCCTTTGGCCTGGAACAGGCCCCGCACCCCCAGTCGTGAGTGAAGCTCCCAGACTGACTCAGATTCGGCCGGCCCCCAGGTCCCCAGTGTCTCAAGGATCAAAGGGCTCTGGGGCCTATTTATTTCTGGGGTTCCTCGGCCGACGTTTATTTGGACAGTTTCCGCCAGAGCGAAGAGCAGACGCACAGCCCTCCGAGGTCCAATGTCGAGACTAGCGACAATGACGTTCTGCCTAGCAGCCCTTGTCCTCCAGCTCCTGTCCCCCTATGCTGCTGCTGAGCATGGTGAGTGACCCCCCGCCTCGCTGCCCTCCCAGCCCCAGCCCTGCCAGCTCTCTCCTGGATCTGCCCGAGGGTGGGCTGCCTCCTGGGGCCCAGGTCAGGGTGCCCTCCGCCTGGAGCTCACCACACGCCCCTCGCCTTCTTCTTTCCCCTCCCCACGAGATTTGGGAGAAGAGCTGGGCTTTGGAGCTCCTCCAAGGGAGCTTCTGTGAGCCTCAGTTTCATCTCCAGGAAGTGGGAATAAGGCCTGCTCCCCAGGGCTGGAGGATTAGACGGAATCAGCAGGGCATCATCTCTGGCATGTGGCAGACGCTCAGCCAATGTTGGGGCCTGTCCTTACTCCTCAAATGTGTCCTTCCAATCCCCTCTGCCCCTTCACCCCTGCACCAAATGCCCCGGGTCTTCCTCACATAACACGAGACAAATGCCTTGAATCTCCGCGCTCTCTAACTCTGTCCTGCCGCTGTTGGCATCACCCCACCCCTGCCTTGTGCCCCTAGGATGTCAGGGGGCTATCAGGTGTCCCAGAACCAGGAGAGAGGCCACTGCTGTAGCTAAATGGGCACAAGATGGGGTTTCAGGAGGCCCAGATTCTAATCCTGCCATGAAACAGCCGTGGGGCAACCCAGATCTTCTCTGGCCTCAGTTTCTCCCCATAAAGGACAAGGGTTGGAACCTTTAAGTTTCCTTCCAACTCAGCTGCTCTAGGCTCTGTGGCTGTGGGGACAGGGCTCAGGTCAGCAGAGGATGACAGTGGGTCCTGGTGGGACCCTCCCAGAGCTCCCTCTGCCCCTCACCTGCCCCCAGAGAAAAAGGGAGGGGAACCAAGGCAGAAACCAAACGTTGGTCATCCTGGGAGAGAAGGGAGCTTGCAGGCAGAAGCAGGGTGCACTCTGGGCCCTGTAGATGACATTCAAACCTCCATGTCCTGGACTTTGTCCTGCCCTGAGCTCACGTCAGGAGCAGTGGGGGCTCCCGGTCCCCCTGGCCCAGCCGCTGGCTAGCTCTTCTCCAGGGAGGAAACGGGATGGGGGAGGGGGAGAAAGTACACCTGAGCCTGTCCCTAGGCCTGGAGCCTCCTTGGCCCAAACCCATCTACAGTAGGCAGGGCCTTCTCTGGGGGCCTGCCTGGGGCTGCCCAGGCTAATGAAGAGAATGGGGGCAGAAATAGGGGCAGGGAGGCTGGGCAGAGTGCAGCAGTGACTTAGCTTGCTCAAAAGGACTGATTCACAGACCTGAACGCTGTCACTTAGCACAGACTCCCAATGTGATGTCACCCCGAGCTGCCATCTTGTTACTGGTAAGAATGACACCTTCTTCCTGGTTCCGTGATGGGCCTTAGCTAGGGATCTTTCCAGCTCCCTGTCATCCCTCCACCCCCTGCTCCCTCCTTTCTTTCTTCCTGCTTCTCTCTTCCCTCTTTCTGGTCCCTCCCTCCCCTTCCCTCTCTCTTCCCTTTCTTCTTCTCTCCACCCCCCACCCTTGGCCTCTTCCCACATTCTGCATGCTGTGGCTCACTGCATCTCTAGCCTCAGTCTCCCTCTCTGTGAAATGGGGCCTTTTGGACTCTGCTCCTGCTCTCCAAGATTCTGTGGTCCCCTGTCTGGGCCTGGCATCAGCTGGTCTATAGAGACCTGGCCAGCTTTGAGTGACATTTGACTGTCCCATGTCTCCTCTCTGGGGACCCAGAGCCTCATCCTTCCTCAGGCTCCTGGGCTGGGGATGCCCGGATGGGTGTGGGCCTGGAGGAGGTGCCTAGCAGCCTGCATCTCACTCTTCCTGACAGACACAACCTCTTGCAACCACCAGGCCACCTCCTTCCAGCACACCCTGGTTATACTGCATCTCAACACAATGTCCTCTGCCCTGCTCAGCACTATCCAGCCTCAGCAAGTGCTGTCTCACCTCCCACACCCAGTACGAATGGGACCAAGGCCTGGGTGCTCAGTCATCTGTCTAGAATGTGCCCTTCTGACCCTTCCACCCTGCCCACCCTGCAGCCCACACCCACCCTGGGCCCTTTCACTCATCCCTGTGTTGACAAAAATAATCCATAATCAGCCTGTAAATCAAAATTAGGGTGAGTTTATTATGAGCCAGAGTGAGGATTCTAACCCAGGAAGGCCTTAGAAGGTGTTTCAGAGAAGCATGGGTTTCACTACAGTCTTCTATCTTTTTAGAACAAAGAACATACATTAAACACACCCATGGTACATTTTCATCAGAGTTTCAAAGAGTTATTCACTTGCAAATTAGGAGGTCAACATGACACCGATGTCAGGAAAAGGGACTAACCCAGGCATTACCAATAGGGTGTAGAAGGGGAAGTATGCATTCTTATCTTAAGAGAGTGCATTCTTTACTTTAATGGTTAAGCAGATGTACAACGTATGTTTGATAGGCCGTAAGTCAGGCTTTTTAGTTCAAGTCAAATCAGTCTTGAACCTGAATAGTTACCCTATATCCCTCAATATGTGAAAATCTCTTGTACTGACAAGAAGCAAGGAGATGGGGCAGGAGGCCGTGGTAGTAATTGGGGTGAGAATAACATCAGTGCCGACCTGGTGGTTACAAGAGAAATGGAAAGAAGTGGACACGTTCAAGATATGCTCCAGTAGGTCTGGTTCATGGAGTAGATGTGGGACGTGTGGGGGGAAGAGAATTAGAACGCTTTCTGAGATGCTGGCCTTCAGCAACTAATAGAAGGGTATTTTCTGAGAGGGATCTAGCAGAGAAATTAGGGGTTCTGTTTTGGACAAGTCTGGGATGCCTAATTAACATCACCTGGAGATGTCAAGACGAAAATAGGAATCAGTCTGCCATTGAGAGGGGAGGCCAGAGCAAGAGACACACATGGGAGTCATCAGAGTGCAGGTGATGTGTAAAGCCATGAGCTTACCCTGGATAATGAAGCAAGGAGAGCTCAGGGTGGAGCCCCAGGGCATGTCAGATCCCACAAAGGATGCCTAGAAGGAATGGCCCGACGGGAGGGAGGAAAACAGTGCAGTAACCCAGAAGCCATGGAATATAATCCTTCAAGAAGGAGAGGGTGTGGGCAAGAGGTGGGAAAACTTAAAACTACAAAGAGTTACTATCTTTAACCCATTGCATGGCCCTAATCCATTGTGTCTGGTGTAAGCCCCATAAACAGGGTGGCTTAAAACAACACAAACTCATTGTCTCGAAGTTCTAGAGACTGGAACCCAGGTGCTAACGGGCCATGCTCTGTCTGGTAGCTCCAAAGGAGCATCCTTCCTTGCCTCTTCTGCCTTCTGGCCTTTACCAGCCATCCTTGGGGTCAGTGGCTTGTAGATGCATCCTCTAGTCACCTGGCCATCTCCTCTCCCTGTGTCTTCACATTGTCTTCCCTCTCTGTGTGTCTGTCTGTCTCTGCCCAAATTTCCCTTTTTTATGAGGACACAGCCATATTGGATTAGAGCCCACCCTAATGACCTCATTTTAACTTGATTACCTCTGTAGTGAACTGTCTCCAAAAAAGGTCACATTCCAAGGTACTAGGAGCTAAGATTTCAATTATCTTTTGAGGGGACACAACTCAACCCATGACAGTCACCAAGAATCAAAAAGCTAGACAGCATATGGGCCATCGGGGAGTGGTTTCCCCGACATTGACACAGAATTGACACAGAAAGGTGGAGGGAATGCAATTGGTACAATTCTATAGAAGGCCTGGGAAAGAAGTAACACAACATTCAGAGCTTCTGCTCTTTCACCTACATCTTCTATGTTAAGGAATTTACCCTAGCTATGCACTCACATACCCGTACAAAGTCGTGTGTGCAAGGGTAGCCATATTCACTCCAGTAAAAGATAGGACCTGGCTACGTCGCTTTTTTATTGCTGCCATGACAAAGTATCACACAGTTAGTCACTTAAAACAACAGCCTTTTCTTATCTCATAGTTTGATGAGTCAGAAGTCTAGGTACAGGTGTGGTTCAGCTAGGTGCTTGCCAGGCTGAAACCAAGGTGTCAGCAGAATTGTGTTCCTT